CCCCCCCCCACGACCCTGAACAGGATAAGTGGTTCCAGAAAATGGATGGCTAAATGCACTTTACTTTTAATATTGCTGTCTTTGTTTAGTTTATCAAATATTTTATGTCCTTTAGAAAAGAAAAGACATCAGTAGAACTGATTTTTCCATAATGGCTGCTGAGCGCCCCCTAGTGGCTGTGTGTTAAACATCGATGCCTTATTCCTTTTTGGCTCTCCTCTTGGCTTTTCTCTAGGGGATCCTCACCAATTTGAGCAGAAGTTCAACTATCGCCGGCCCATGTACCCCATCCTCAAGTACATGTGGGGACAGGACAACTACAGGGACAGCATAAAGGCAAGGAGTTTTCTTTACACATCACCTGAGTTACACATCACTCCTGGGAGAGAGCAGGGCAGAACCCAGGCCTACTGGCGTTATTTTCACTGCCGCTGACCGCCATCCGTCTCGCCCACCTGCAGCGATTGGCCGACTACGCCGCGGAGAACCTGGAGGCCATGAATCCGCCCCTTTTCCTCAGGTTCCTCAACCTGTTGATGAATGACGCCATCTTCCTGCTCGACGAAGCTATACAGGTGGGGAGGTGGCAGGAATTTGCATTAGGCTTCCAGTAGCCGGATGCCTGTGAGTTATCTAATGTGAAGTAAGGCAGAGGAGGAACTGTTCTGTCATGTTTTTATTAGTATCTTGTACCTTTAAGGTAGAACAAATGGACCCCATGAGTAATAATCTGATTGCATTGGTTGTCATACCTGTGTAATCTAAATAAAGTTTGTTTCATTTAGCCGAGAATGAAATGCATTACGGCAGGGAGCTTTTAATCAGAATATTTATTTATTTTTAAATCTTAATTAGATTCTACACTATCACAGGAGGCAAATAATGTAAAAGACCCCCGCTTCTTTGTTTGTTGCTCAGCTCCCCCGAGTGTCGATGTATATACATAGCTGAGCTTGCATTTTGAATGGTCATCTTATGTCCTCCTTCCAAGGTCAGGTCATACGAGCTTATGTTTTCCTTTACCGTGTTTTTGTGAGTCAAGCCGTGAAGGTTTCGGGACCTCATCAACAGCGGGTGACATCACAGGCAGAGACGGCTTTCCCCGAGGCCGTCTCGCGATCGATTTAAATGCGATGTCATCGTTCGGAGACCTGCTTATGAAATTTCCAGAAGCGTTCAGTCGTTTATCTCTGTTCCAGCTGACATTTCTCCAGTGTCGCTTCCAGTCAGCATGCGTCATCAAGTGTTTTTCCATTGAAGGACCCCTAAATATCTACCCCTTCTTAGCTGAGCACTGTGATTTGTGTCAGAGTTTGGGTATTCATTCAGAGTAAGCTCAGAGATTTAGTTAGCCACATTACCATTTATGGTCTTCTTGTATTGATTGGTTTGAGGTATCTCGCCACATTTGGCAGCTCTGCTGTTAGATTGGTTAGGGTAATTATCCCCACGGGGTTTATATTATGTCACCAGCTTACTGTCGACCCCCTAGGATTTCTGGTTCTGATGGGGGGGATGGGGAGTAATATATGGAAATGCAGTCTGGCTTGTCCTCATTTGGCCCAGTTGGGCCTTGTTATTGCTTGACACCACAATGGAAAAGTGGCGTAACATATCCTCCACTGTGGGACCGATATTTGTAAATCAAGCATGTGTCCTGTTTCTGCCATGTTTCTGATTGTTGGATGAGGCCTGTGTTGATCTTCCCAAGCTCCCTGTGGATGATGACCTGTCTGCCCAAGGAGCTTTGTGTTTGCAAACAGGGACTTCTGACTCTCTCCTGCAGTACCTGAGTAAGATTAAGGTCCTGCAGCTGGAGAGGGACCGGGGGGAGTGGGAGGGCCTGGCCCCAGACGCCCGTCGGGAGAAGGAGTCCAGCCTGCAGATGTTTGGCCAGCTGGGCCGCTTCCACAACATCATGTCCAACGAGACCATAGGGACGCTGGCCTTCCTGACATCTGGTGAGGGGTCGGCGCTGGGGTGGCAATAGAAAGGTTTGGGGTGGTTGTAGTGGAGAAGCCAGCATTTATTTATGTAGAGAAGGAAGGAGCCTCTTGAAACACCATCATCATTGAATGAGACGTTCTGTGGGAACTATTGTGACTTCATCACGAACTTAACGGTTCTGACCATTTTCTGTTCTTCTGGCATCTCAGAGATCAAGGGACTGTTCGTCCATCCCTTCTTGGCTGAGCGGATCATTTCCATGCTCAACTACTTCCTGCAGCACCTGGTGGGCCCCAAGATGGGGGCGCTGAAGGTGAAGGACTTCAGCGAGTTCGATTTCAAACCCCAGCAGCTTGTGTCTGACATCTGCACCATCTACCTCAACTTGGGGTATGTCTTCAGTCTCTGCATGTCCACAGTCCACCTTCCCCTGCATCTAGAAATGTTAACTGCTGTGCACCTGTAAAAATCACCATAAAAAGGCAGATGGATCCCAGATCCAATCAGTTTTTCACATCACTTAACACTCTGTAGAGAATAGGTGAGTGAAACACTTGTGAACACACAACAGCAGCAAGGAAGAGTGCAATTGGAAGTGTACAAAACAATAAATAACACAGTAACCATACATATTGTCCAACTTTAGAGGCAAATGCAACCGACAGTAATAGAGTTATAGACAGTGAATGGGTCCATTGACCAGAATTCAGCATTCTACATGGATCTGAATCTTTAGAAAGGTTTCTGTGTAGTTCACCATCTTATTTGGTCAGATATAATGGCGACTGTCAACCTACATGAGCTGCAGCGAGCATTTAACTAAGCTGTGGATGACGCAGTCTATCAAGACTGCCTCTGAAAATGCAAATGAGTCCAGGAAGTTAAAAGAACGACAAAAGGAAGTGTGTGATGATGTTCTCGAACAAAGAGTGCCAACCACACAGTGTATCCATCATTCATCTGTGCTGAATGGAGGGTGGGGGGATGTTTTCTGTGGTTTTATGCAGGGATGAAGGGATTTGTGTTCTGTTTTCCAGCGATGAGGAGAATTTCTGTGCCACAGTACCGAAAGATGGCCGGTCCTACTCACCGACCCTGTTCTCTCAGATAGTCCGAGTGCTTAAGAAGATCAACAAGCCCGGAGATATGATAGTGTCCTTCAGTCTCCTGGCAGACAAGATAAAGGTTGGACCGATAGCTTTTATCTTATTTGCCCCCCCAAGCCTTATAAAACCTATAATTCCTTTGTCACCTCGCTGCTTTTGCATAATGATCATTCCTTTGTTTTCTTCCCGCCTTGCCAGTCGCTGGCAGACAGACAGCAGCAGGAGGAGGAGACTTATTCAGATGCCCCGGACGAGTTCCTGGATCCCATCATGTCCACGCTGATGCTGGACCCTGTGCTCCTCCCCTCCTCGCACATCACGGTCGACCGCTCCACCATTGCACGCCACCTCCTCAGGTAGGTAGACCCCAGAAGCCGCTGACGTGAGTTTCCATGAGGATCATGAGACTGCTTTAGATCCTGTAGATGTTTCACTGTGTAGCAAAAACTTTTATCCATTGACTGGATGCAGTTTTACTGAAGCAGTTCCAGTCTGTTCCCTCAAGGGCGGCGCTATAGGGGCCCTGGCCCCAGCTGAAACCTGACTGCCATGTTGTGATGTCCTAACCTGTTGTCCTGTTTGCTGACACATCAAGGTGCATAAAAAGGGCCTGCCAGCATCCAAAAAGGCCAACCAGAGACCGGTGAAATCAGCCCTTACTAGGGACTTATGAAGGGGTGGGGCCACAGAGGCCTTGGCCCCAGGTGAAATTTGATTGGTCCACAGAGTACTCCCACCCCTGTCACTCAGCAGTTCAAAACATATCATTGGCTAATGATAAAGTTAGCCGATCTTATCCCCTCCACCTTAAATCAAAGTAACACCCCTTTGTCTCCTGCCACAGTCTATAGAAGCTGGACCAAGAATTGGATCTTGACCTTTTTTGGTTTAGACCCAGCTCCTTACACACTATGTTAGTTTCTACACATTACTTAATGTCTGTGACGTGTTAGGGGCGGATATTTTGGCCATTAAATTCACCATATTCTCTCCACAGTGATCAGACGGATCCCTTTAACCGGAGCCCCCTGACCATGGACCAAATCCGGCCCAACGAGGAGCTGAAGCAGCAGATCCTACAGTGGTTAGCCGAGCGCAAGAAGGAGCGGATGGAGATGGGCCCCAGTGGATAACCTAGACCGGCGGCCTGACCCCATGACAACGCCTGCTGTCAGTGTTCTCTAGGCACCCTGCTTACTGAAAGAATAAATCTAGGGTGGGAAATGGGACAGTTTTAACAGGTTATCATTACCATACTGAAAAGTATTTTACAAGTGGAAAAGCAAGTGTGTAAGATTAGAAGTAAAGGAGAAAGTGTAACCATCATATGATTTCTGAAGTTCTGTTTTAACAACATTCACAAAAAAAAATGATGTGTATTACTCTCTCCCTATAATCATACTTGTCCCCTTAAATAGAAGACCTTGCATAAAAGCATGGGTGAATTTATAAATTGCAACACAAGGCACACTTTTTGTTCTGAAGATCCATATCTTATCTCCATTTTGGTCTTTCTTGTGTTAAACCCAATTTAGCCTAATCGCATATGAAACTGACACGTGATTGTCCAATTAACATGTTAGAATAGTCACTATTCTTTCATTTTTTTGACCCATAAGTCTTTCTTGGTTTGAGTTTAAGAAACACCGGAGAGGCAAAAACGATTGTTGTCATCCACTGTGCATCCTAAATGAATAGGCGACGAAATGTTATTTGCAATGACTATGTAGTGAGGGCTAACTGCCTCGTTAATCTCTACACTTCATTGGCTAATAGTAATGTTAAGGATTAATATTCTTTTTTTTTTATCTAAAATGACAGATTTTATGTTTCATTTTTAGAAATGATCATTTTCACAAGTGTGTTTTCCAGCCAAAAGAAATAGTATGAAATTGGAGACTATTAAAAATGTCTTTTTTTCAAGTTACCAGTAGTGGTACTTTAATAAGAGCCTTATAGTACTGCGTTTATATTGGTGATGGAATTTTCATATGTTGTATCTTACTACTTTTGTAAAAGATTTATTGTAATTTCCCTCCATGTATTATTTGTGGTATTTTTTTTTCTTTATTGATTAAACTAATTAATGGAAACTGAAAGACAGAATAGTGTTGTGCAGGTTGAAACTGGTACAGGTTAGCAAGCCAAATACAAAAATAATAATAAGTGTATATGTCCAGTTTCTGTTGGGGGGCTTTGCCAGTGTCAATACTGACAATTAAAGGTGATCAGCCATTTTATGACAATTTATGCAAGTACATGAGATGGGCCTTAACTTTCTATTATTGGTAAGGGTGCAGGTTTGGCCTATGGTCTGAAGTCCTTTATTACTTGAATAGTTTAGGAGGAATTTTCCCACCTGTTTTTTTCCAGACTCCAGGTACTAGAACTGTCCATGTGTTGGCAAAGGACCCCTTGGGAGATTTTCCACAGAAACGCAGTTTGACATTGGCGCTCTGGTCAAGTCACCCATTCTAATGTACTGTTTGTCTTTCCTACTCAATTTTGGGCAGTTGCTTGGTGAATTATATGCTGAAATAGAGTGGGGGGGGTGGAAATGTTTATACTGTACAGCTGGAATAGAATATATATATATATATATATATAAATGCAAAACCTGTACAAAATTACCATATGAGGATGACAATAAAATGAGAAATTCAGACTGTTTATATAGTGAATCCTTTTCTCTTCCACCCTGTGCCGGTGTTCTGTCGATTAATGCTGCCTTGTCGAAAAATGCTACCGTAGTGCTAATCGATAGCCCTAACCCTAACTCTTACCCTAACCCCACAAAACACCCTAAAACCCTTACCCTAACCCCTAAAACCTAACCCTAATCCCAAAACGGTGGAACTGCACATGCGCAGAAAGGCTCGATAGGTAGGATTTTATGACAGAACACCGGTAGTCAAACTAACAATAATATACATTTTCCTCAGTAGCTTAGGCTAATCACAAAACGCAGCTTGGTGTCACGCTTCGCGGGGAGGGCGAGCAGGAAGCAGGCGAGCGAAGCCAGGCAGTCAGGGTAACGGGGTTTATTCGGAGGCAGACGTACAGGTACGGACACTACACATGACAATACAATGACCAGTCTGGGGTACATCGACTAAGACACGGACTAAATACACAAGACTAGGCAAACGAAACAGGAAACAGGTGAGAACCATCAGGGCTGAACACGAGGTAATGAGGGGGGCGTGGCACACATCGGGATCGTACGGAGCGGGATATGACACTTGGCCTGTTTGATTTCAATATACAAGAATGATGCCCACGGTTACTCATTTCATTAAAACTGGAATTCACACAGCTTTTCGTACACCTTAAACATTTCAGAAAGCTGTGGTTGTCCTCAAAATCCAATCATCTAAATGGCAAAGTGGACGCTTTAGCAGAACCTTTAAATGCAATAAAATGTAAGTGTTACTACGTATAAGGATAAAGTTCTGTCGATTATGGGTGTTGGTGCTGGTGGTTGTGGTTAAGGGAAGGCCAGTTTCAAAAGTAAAACGTTTCAAATTTGTTTCGTGAACTGAGAGAATGAGGCATTTTTTCCCAGTTTCATTAGATTGATCTAGTCTCCATTAACAAACCCTTAGTTTACTTGTTTCGTATCTTCTTTGTCTCAGTTAAACGCACATCCGTCTTCTAACCGCTTTCCTTAGTGTAGATCACTGGAATAAATATGTTAATTAAGCGTTTTACACTTCTCAAATGATAATTCATTAATTTGCTATCTGTAGAAGCGTTAATGCCAACACAACTGACGCATCTTAGGTGATTCATTAGGTACTGGCTAGCATTTACGTTTTTTCTTTTTAATTATTCCTCTGAGAATATACATATATATAATATATATATATATATATAATAAAATATGGAAGTGTATTTATCATACGTCCTTTAAACTCAAACTGAGCTATTAATCTTCATCGATCACTTTAGCAGCGTCATACGTTCCGAGCCACTTCCGGATTTTCAGGCAGGCAGTTGAATAGACGGCAGCGTTTCGGGGTCCTTCGCAGTGGAGGTGACTTTCAGTAGCGGCGACCCGGACAAACGGAGACTGAAACATTATGGCACAAGCGGTGCAGAAATTGGTTGCTAAAGTGCCGCAAGTCATAGGCGGTAAGGATTACTGAATTTTACTATAGTGCATTATCTTAATCGGCGGTGTCTGTATGATAAAGCGTGCAGTTTTTCAGTTCTGTCGCGTTAATAACAGGTTAGCTAGACTGATAGCTAGGCCTTGTTCGTTGGATTTCAAGAGAGGATTTCAAAGTATTGAACCTTTGTAATTTAACATAATTAAAGTTGAGCAGTATGTACGTTACAGCATTTAACTAATAAACATCTGGAAGGTTGGCTCGCTTAATCTTGACTGTAACAGTGTAAGCAATGTCAACGCTGCGGCAGGCCATTCATCTGTAATCTGCTTTAATTCTGTGGTACAGAATTTAGGATTACATTTTTTATATAATTATTACACTATTTCCAATTAATAACCTTGTTTCCGCTGAACTCGGTTTTTTTTTAAGTTTAAGTTAAGCTTTGATAGCATCTTATGTCTGACTGTTGCAATGTTGACGATTTTAATGGGCATGCCAATTAACATTCTGTTATTTTAAGAGTCTAATTAAATAAAGCACGTTTGTCCATTTTGACTTGTGTTTTTTGCAGCTACAGTGACCTACACCAGACCACGGCTGGCCACGTTTTGGCGCTATGCTCGTGTTGAGTTGGTGCCTCCTTCTCCGGCAGAGGTTCCACAGGCCATTGAAAGTGTCAAGGGGCTAATTAAGAGCTTCCAGGCGGGCCGGCTTGGGCAGACCACAGTTAGGGTGAGTCGGCGAAGCACCATTTGTATGTTAGTGTTTTAAGAACAGAGTGTCTCTCAGTAGTCCTCACCCCAGCTTTCTTTTCCCAGGATGCTATGAGGAACGGCCTGGTGGCAACTGAAGTTCTGATGTGGTTCTATATTGGAGAAATCATTGGGAAAGGAGGCATCGTTGGATACAACGTTTAAACTGTGGACTGTCCTCTGCTGGTTTTTGTCTTTGTATTTGCTTTCACCCAACAGCTACACAGTATTTGGGGATCCACTAAATAAATTATGATTAAACAATGCGAGAAGTCGTGAAACTTGAGACATCCCTGCACAGAATACCTCTTTATTTTGTCTAGAAAAGACATCCCATCCGGCAACTGGGTTGCATTTTTCTAATGTTCACTTTCAACTGGGTACTGTGGGTGCCTTGGGTTTTAAGTGAAGACATTCTTCATAGATGGGTGTTAGAGTTCGGAAAGTCTATCTTAATAATCAATTTGCTTCCTGTGTACCATAATAAAAGAAGATTATTTTGCTGATTGGCTGATTCCCTGGCCAAGCTTATAAGAGGATGTTAGCCTCCCCTATACAGTACTGGTACTTGGTTCAACCAACCAGCTGAGTACTCTGTGACTGTATCTATACTCGACTAGTTGGTTGAAACAAAATCTTGGTCTGACTTTTTACTTCCTGGACCTGAACTACCCACCTCTGGTTCATATGAATGACAAATCATGTGTATAAAATTAAAGCACTAAAGTACTGTGGTTTGTGTGACCAAATCCAGAATTCAAGGGTGCTTTTCACACTTGACATTGTAACTATGAAATGACTTGGTGACCAGAGAATTGGCTTGCTTTCCAGACTGTTTAAGAGCGTCAGCCATCAAAATGACGTGTGCTAGAAATGCTTGAGATTAGACGTTAGTACAGCCAAGCACCTGTGGGTAATAACTGTCCAGTTGTGAGCAACTTAATTAGAGATGTGCTGTTAATACTGACTAATATGCACCTGGAGGTTTCAAAATAAACTATCTTTAATGTCATTTAGCATCAATACAAAGAGAAAAGGCTAGATTCTGTTAGCATAATTAGGTCAATTAGTGTTCAAGCTTAAGAGCCTAGTTAACTGGAAAAGCTTCACACGGGCAAACTGGAAGAACCAAGAAAACAAGGCACAGTGCAGTCTCCAGCTCTGCCTTAGACATTCAAATATTTTTGCAACAGAAAATAGATGAAAGCTATTTATAATTCTACATGTTTCAGTCATTCATTCAAACACATGATTTATTTTTACTCGTGGAACTAGTAGATTCAGTTGGTCACTCATTGACAAGTCTTTTATGTTCACTTATATAACCATTCCTATAAGTCCAGCTCATTAATCCACTTCTGTGGAGCATGAAAAAAAAAAGATGTTCATTTTGAATGAATGAAAATTACATTTATGTAGCACTTTCTCAAACACCTAAAATGCTTTACAAAAGCAATGGGGAGCCATTTCAACCACCACCACTGTGTAGCCCCCACCTGTATGATACGATAGCAGCCATTCTGCACCAGTATGCTCACCACACAGTAGCTAAGACGGTGAAGGGGCAGGAGAGAATTAGACACAGGATAATTAGGATGGTAGATTTTGATATGGTGACAGTGGGCATTTTTTTAGCCAGGACATCCCTACTCTTTCAAAAGATGCCCTAGGGTCTTGAATGGCCTCAGAGTCAGGACCTGAGTTTTACATCTCATCTGAAGGATATCACCATTTTTACAGCACTGCACTGGGATTCACACAGACCACAGGATAGGCTAAACAGTTGGCTCCACCAACATCTCTTCCAGCAGCAACCCAGCTTTCTTAGTTGGTCTCCTATCCAAGTACTGGCCAGGCCCAAAGCTGCTTAGCTTAAGGTGGATGATTTGGTCCAAACTGCAGGCGGTACAGCTGCTGAACAATTTTGCAATATAGGCTCTGAGTAACTAGACCACTTATAACCACATTAAGCTGCTGTTGCACGTCGGATATCATTCCCAGTTGTACATGTTTCTGACTTGACTTAGACCTTTTTGACTTTCAAACATGTAGCTACGCTGGCAAAGTGCTACTGATGTATTTCTGGTATAACATCAGCATAGTTGCATTTACTGTATAATATACCAAAGGCTCTTGGACCTGTGGCAACATTTTAATTAGTGCCCCCATTTAAACCTCAAACACCATCTGCCACGAGTGAGGTGACTTTCTCCCCAGCCATGCATCTATGCAGCCAGCAAGCCCTTCAGCTGTCTAGAACTGGAGCTGCCAAACCCTGCCAAACTCAATTTCACCAATTTAGTTGATAATAATTATAGTGATACTGCATTCATCCCTATGGGGCAATTAGTTTTCATGCATCCCGTCTTGTTGTCTATGTGTCTGACAGACAGGTGAGAGCAAGGTTTCGGGTCAGAGCAAAGGTCACTCTATGTTTGGCATCCCTGAAGCAACATGGGTTAAGGGCCTTGCTCAAGGGCCCAACAGTGGCATTACTCCACCGGACACAGGATTCAAACCAGCAACCTTCTGATCACAGCCACAGTCCTAACCCACACAACACCCCACAATTAAATTCTTCATTAGGCTGATGATCATTTAGAACATTTTATGAAAGGGTGAGGATTAATAACGTGTAGATTTCTGGTGATAACATTGAATGTCATGCTTGGACTTGGAGAGACACAATTCAGTTTAATTTAATTTTATTTGTATAGCGCACTTTCACAACATTACACTGTCTCAAAGCGCTTTACATTATCCCTGCCCAAAGCCCCCAGTGAGCAAGACAGAGGCAACAGCGGCAAGAAAAACACTCCCTAGAAGGAAGAAACCTTGGGGGGAACCAGACTCAAAGGGGTATCCCATTCTCCAGAGGAAGTCAAATGAACAAAATAGCAAAATCTTAATTTACACAATCCAAATCTTAAGATCTGAGTCTCAATGCAGGCAGGGGATAGCATGCAAATACTGGTACTGCTTCTGATAGCAGGATGAACTGTGATACAGCGGCAATGAAGGAGACGTCAAAGGTAGTAGAAGCATCATAGGCAGCACGGTGGGCAGAATATCTTAATATTTTTGGGTCTCCAGGCAGCACACCTCAGTAGGGATGGGGGAGATAAAAAGTGCATTAACCAAAGTAGGGGAAACTACAGACAGTGCAAACAGTTAGATGAGTGCAGTTGCTCAGTGGGTAGTAGCATTGTCTCGTACATCCAGTGTAGGAGCTCAAATCACATCTCTCCATGGTGATACAATACGGAGTCGGTCTGTGCTGGTTTTCAATTTAACCAATTGCTCCGTTTAACCAATTATGCTCGTTAAAACAATTTATCTTTCTATCTGTCATTACTTTGGGTTCAGTGGTTTAGAAACTGCAGGCTCGATATATCACGTGATCGAGTTAAAACGACTATGGCTGTGTGAAAATAATTGGTGCCTATTAACTTGCTAAGAGAAAATAAGTTTAGTCGCGTGCCACGTTGCAAATTGTAAACTTTGTGTTTTTAAAACGTCAGCCTGACGTTCTCGTGTTTTTTTTTAACCAATCAAAGCTCATAATTAGGTTATTAAGATTATTTGGCTAGTAAGTTGCCTCGCCATTTGTTGCTGGTATCAATCAAGTACTAATTAAAATTTATTCTCTAAAACTGGCAGCGTCCCGGTCCCTGGGGGCTTTGATTTGACACCCCCTAGAGGAAACATAAAATAACATTAAGAAAATAATTAAGCATTTTAATTAAACATTGTATGCAAAGTAGCATCGCCTAAGATGGAAGAATGGTCTTGAAACAATTACAATATTGTGAAGTAACATAAAGTAATAAAATACAACAAACATTTGAATAATATCATTCAGATTTTATATTTTAAATTATATTCTCTTGTGGAAAATAGTCTACGGCATGCATAATCGCAATCAGGAAAAAAAAAAGTTTCCCTGGTCCGTTAACTTTTACTGACTGTTGACCCCCCCTTACCGCGGTACCTTAATGACCGGCTGATAGTAAGTGGCCCGGATAAAAGTGACTTAATTGATATTTAGCTAAAGGTAGGTCACGTCAGACATAGGAACGTGGGCTGATCGGCACTGAACTCCTGATTTTTAATGCTAAGCATCATCTTTTTTTAAAATAAGCCACGCGTCAAATCCTTTTCGTGGTTTTGAAAAAAAAAAAGCACAATTTATCTTAGCTGGTATTTTACATTTATTTTCTATCTACATACGTCAGCTACAATGATTTTTCTATTCATTTCTCCGTTTCAACCTGCGTAATGTTGTACTCGCTATGTTTTGTTCCCGGGCCTGGCCCCGGACTCTGGGTAGAAAATAACTCGTACAATCTGGATGGCGATATTTGAACAAAACCCAGTATCCGGGTTCCAGTATTTGCGCCCCGCAATATGAATCGCCCATACTTGTTCCCTGAGTGGCTAATCGTTGTTTGTTGAAAATACAGGTTTAGGGCCGCGCCCCCTCAGCACTCTGATCTTAGGGCAAGCAGGCAGAGTGTAAAATGGCGCACAGCTGTCGGTGGCGGTTCCCTGCTCGGCCTGGTGGGATCACCAACGCGGGCAGCGGGAGGAGAGCGGGCCGGATACGGGTCACTGCCTCTCTCCGAACTGGCACCGGGACCCACCCGAACACGAACGGGCTCGGCCCGGGCTTTGACGCCGCGTTACAAGTTTCTGCTGCCATCGGCAACAACCTGCAGAAATTTCGGGATGTTTTTGGAGAGGCGAGTGGCTCCAGCAGCGGGGAGGTAAGGAGCTTCTGCCACAGACGGGGGGCATGATGTGGGGCGTTCACTGTGGCGCCGATCAGCGATTTCTGAGGGGCGAGCAGTGCAGGCGGCTAGCTGGCTAACTTTACCACGGGCAGCTAGCTACACGGCTAAGTGAAGATCTCCTAGTAATATGCAGTTTTTCCTCCCCTCACTCTGGCTTAAAGAGTCATTCTCGGGGCAGCACGTTGCAAATCTCAACTACTTGCCGTTGAGGAGGAGGAGGAGGCGGCGGAGGAGAGGGGGAGGAAGAGAGATGAGGGGAGAAAAAAAAGGAGTGAATTTAGCAATCGATGCAGCGCGATTGTTTTGATGGAGACGAGACGCGGCGGAGGTGCTCGGCAGAAGTTTATCCCAGCCGAGAGCAGCCTGGGCTTAGGGGCAGTGCATCGGCCGGGTGACCCGCTACAGTGATACCGCAGGAGCAGGGAGGGGGGAGCCGTCGGCAACACAATAACTGCCCGAGTGCGAAGATCGGACACCCGATTATAATATAAACCCCGAGAGAGAGAGGGAAAAACAGCGCCGAGTCCGATTGCGCTCCCCTCCGGGAGGCTGGAGCGGCGTCGCTCCTTCTTGCAATTTCAAACTGCGTGTGCTGCCCCTGTCGCCGCTCCGGAGCGACCGACAACAAAACATGTCAGCGACGCCGCACACGGCGGACACTTTACCCGCCCGGGATCATCATCAGCATTAATAAGCATAACAAACGTGTATAT